GACTTATAAATGGTAGACATACAATCATATTTGTCAAATTGGTCTGAAGGTGTGCCAGGAAGCGGAAAGGGAGGGTACTGGAAACAAACTTAATGTACTCTATGATTTTACTCAGGATCAACCTTGGCTATGTTTGTTTTTCTTTCATTACTAGGGTACACTGTCTTAGACAGCAAGGTTGCTAAAAAGTGGGACTATTTATGGAACCAGATGTTCTATTCAGAGGTTGCAGAGTTATGCTATAATGCATCTTAAATCTCCATTTGGGTCCCCTAACTGAGTGGGAAATGGAAATGGAGGCTAAAGGCCAGCCGTAGCTACTGACCAGGCTATGTGCCCTGGTGTGCAGTCATACAGCAATGAAGATCACCTACTTATCAGGATATGGTGCTGCAATCCTGCAACGCCAGCTATCTGGCAGGCTGAGGCAACAGGATAGCAAATGCAAGGCCAGCCTGGGTGAACTAATGAGAACTTGTCTCAAAAATAAAAGTTTTAAAAAGGGTTGGGTGCATAGCTCAACATTCCCTGAATTCAATCCTCCATTTCTGGTGGAAAAAAAAGGATCATCCACATAGAAGGGATACATTTTGTATTTCAGTATATCCACCTGGGGATACCTCCACAGACTAAGAGTTTTATATACAATCAGGGAGGAACTCTCCTACAAACTCAAGTGTCCTTTTTATTTTTCTCTTTTTATCATACTGGGGATTAAACCCAGGGTATCACACATGCTAGGAAACTGCTCTACTAATACACTACATTGCCAAGTGTTTGTTTGTGTTTGAGGCAGGGTCTCATTAAGTTGCCCAGGATGGCCTCAAACTTGTTATCTTCCTGCCTCAGCCTTCTAAGTAACCGAATTACAGATGTGTGCCACCATACCCAACTCAAAGGTCCATTTTTAAACCAGCTTCCTGACTCTTGGGTGAACATTGCTAAAATAATAATAATACTTAGATTACTAGATACTTGCTGAATGGTCATTAAGGATCTGAAGGTTCCAGGGGCTGGCAAAAACCTTCTGTATTTGCATAAGAATCTAGTGTGTACTACTCTCTCAGGAAGTTCAGCATTATCTTTGAGAAGGGCATCAAGTTCAAAAACCTGTCCTGGGGACTGGTGAATGTGACCACCAAGCTACTGTCTTTGACAATAAGGATGTCAAAGACTTGTTGTGGATCTTGTGGAGAGGTTTGTTGAACTGCAACTCCAGATCAGTATGTGGCTCTACCTGCATCATTATTCATTATTTTCCTACTTCCAGGTGGCTTCTAGCACCAGGCCCTCTAGAAATGCTACATAGGTACCCTCACCAAAGCTATTTCCTAAGGTATGACTGAGGCATCTGTCCTCCTAGCACGCCATGAGTTTGAAAGCTAAAAAACAAACACACAAGGAATTGTATATGCAAAGACAAATAAAGAAATTATAGATAGGGAGGAAGAAGGGTGATACAGTGAGCAGAAATGTAATAAGTAAAAGGAGTACCACCTTAGGCATAAAGGGTGAGCAGTAGAGACAGTCAAGACGGGTCCTAATCTAAGTTCAAAAGTTGGAGAAGGCTTAAAGGGGAGAGTAAAGCTCAAGATGAAACTTGAAGGAGCAATAGGTAAAATTTATTGAGCATGCTATACATCAGGTCCATTCTAAGAACGTCACACAACTCTTCATTTTAGAGATAAAGAAACTGAGGCACAGAGCAAATGGTGAAGCTTGGATTCAAACTTGAAAAAGGGGGCTCTAGAATAAAGGGGAAGAAGGCAAATGCAAGTGCCCTGCAATATAATCTGAAAGACAGGAAAGGAACATGTATCTTGAGGAACCGAAAGTGGCTTAGTGAGGACAAGCTGGGGGATGGGACAAGTTCAGAGATGACCAGGCTTGCTCTGCAGGTTACAAGAGAAACCAGAAGCAGAGGACTTCTCGTCTGTTTAGACTTTCAATAGTTAGTTGCTCCATTCATATCACCTAACCCCTCCCCGTCTCAATTTCTCCCTTTTATAAAAGACCATTTCTCCCATTTGTAAAAGACCATAATAGTAATATCTGTTCTCTAACATAAAGAATGGTCATGAGTAATAGATGAGCAAAAGCTACGTGAACTTGATTGCAAAGTACAAGTTCCTTCACAGATTTGAGATTTCATCAGTATTATTTCCCACATAGCTTCAGGGATTTGAAAACTCAGAGTCCAGTATCAGAGAGTGCCCTCTGAGGAGAGCAACAGTATACTGGTGTAGAAACACCCTCAGGCCTTGCCTGGGTCTGCCTTTGAAGAACTGAACCACTTCCCGACAAGTTACAACTCTCAGTACCTCAACTCTGCCATCTGGAAAATGGGACTGACAATGAGAGCATTTACCTCATAAAGTTGATATGAGGAATAAATACTACATATAATAAGTTTGGAACAGTCTCTAATACAGAATAAAGACTTACTAAACCTCAACAGATACATTATTATAACTGGTAAGAAATCTGTTAGCTATTCATTCGATTCCTCCATGTTCTACGTGATAAAAATGTGTGGCGAGATTAGAAGTTAGAGGATGAAGAAGGTTTGTGCCCGTGACAGCTCCACACTCCCTCGCTGTTACAGAGATTATTCCTGGACGAAGACTGGCAAGCCACTGGCTCTTCCTCCTGGCAGAAAATGCCCAAAAGAGGTAAAAGACAGAGACTGCACACCATTTGTGCAAACCAGACTGCTCTAGTAGATTTCAGACAAAACCTAAATGTAGTCAATCAGATAGGACCCGCTTTTTAAGATAGAACTCTTCTTATTCCTCCTTCCTCACACCCCGGCCCCTCACCTTGATATTTGCCCCCCCCACACACACACATCTCAAGAAACTTTCAGCCTTTTGCAACACACACTCCGGGAGTCTGCTGTGGCAGCCTCTTGCCACATTACCTTGTCTAACTCTGGTAGAAAAGGCTTTGCTAATTTCACAACAGGAAATTTGAGAACAAAACAAATCTACACACAGAAACCAGTATCTTCCAGCAAACCCGCGGAGGTACAGACCGGACCTGAGGCTAGATGACTCGGACTGAAGACGAAGCAGCTGCCTCTTAAACTGAGACTGCAAAAAGTTATTTGCCTCTAAAAAACCAGATCTGCATACAAATTCATTATGAATATTCACAAGCTCCTCAGCTGGCTCAAGAGCCACCCCATGACTACAACCCTGAGCTCTGTTTCCTAAAAAGTTTCCCAAAGTTCTTTCTCTGCCTCCTCAGAGGGAAGAGGGTGGAAACATTAATTCAGGGCTTTTTGCCTCTTGCTCCTTTTCAAGTACTTGCTTTCAGTACAGCTTTCCTCATCTCTCTCTCCCTCCCTCTCTCCTTAAGGATTCGGATCAAATCCGTTTTGGTCTTACCCTTTGTACCTTCCATGAGTAGCAGCTTTTGTTTTCTTCCTCTTTCCTCGTTTTGGGGTGTGTGTGTGTGTGTGTGTGTGTGTGTGTGTGTGTGTGTGTGTGTGTGTTTTGTTTTTACAGCCTCGCTTGCTGTGGTCGGTCACAGTGAGAGAGGTTCTCAGGATCAGAGATATAACAGACCCTTGGTCTTGTGGGAGGGGCTAATTAGCCAGCCCCGTTTTTGGAAGGAACCTATCTTTTCATTGACTAGAAAGGACAGATTGGCCGAGGAGTCCAGCAGCTCATTTCCCTAAATTTACTCAAAGGATTCCCCGGGGTTATAAATTTTTCTATTATTGAAACAGTGTGTGTTCACTCTCTCCCTCCCTCCCTCCCTCCCTCCCTCCACCTTTCCTCCCTCCCACTTTTCCTATGTCTCTCTTGTACACTATTACAGAAATCCATTTTTCTCCTTTGAGAAAGTCATACTGGATGCAAAAAAAATAAAATAAGAAAAGAAAAAAGCTGCTTATGTATTACAATTATGAAAGCCAAATAAGAAATTAGTAACTTTGATAGCCAATGGAAAACTTGTGAGAGGCAAGAACAGTTTGTTCTTCCCATCCCATAAAGCGAGTCATTTGTGGTCCCATGATCATGATAAGCAAATCTTTTCAAGGCTTGTTACAGCAGAAGACTAAGGAAAAGCAAAAAGGCACCAAAGAAGCCAGTGAGCTGGAGACGCTGGTATTGGTTGGAAGGTGGGTGGACCACAGAGGAAGTTGCTTACTGGGAACCTGCCTATCTATGACTTAATGAAAGTTGTCCATATTTTTCAATCTTTGACTTCCTACCTCCAAAATCCTATAAACATGGATTGCCACATTGAGACTTTGCAAGATGAACCTAGTACACACAAGGAGATAATCAAATTATTTTTAAACTAGGTATGCAATATTATTTTGAAATCAATTCAAGGATAAATCCTCAGAGAGGAAGGTAACTCTTCAAGTCCCAAGGTCACTAGGGCAGCTTCTCTCTCTGCAGGACGTTCAAAAGTTTTAATTAGGATTTGAGATTTGAAAGAAACCTCAGATATCTAGTCTAACCCAAAGTTAGAGAGGGGAATTTAAACCAGCTGCTCCAATTCACAGAGAGAGAAGGGAGCTGATCTCTCTTATTTGCACCGTGCTCCTCAGCATCAATACAGCACGGACACTCAAGTATATTCTCCTTGACCTAATTCTATTTTAAAGTTGTCATCTGTTTTCCAGTAGGTCCTGACTGATACACTTCAGAAAACATTTCACCTCTATAAAATTTTTTCCTGTTACATAACATGCTCCAAATGAATAGGCTAACAGTCAAGCTATGGTAAATCTCTTAATAAAATAAAAATAATGCTTGAATAAATAAAATGTATTAAAAGCAAAATATAACATATATTATTAGCTCATTCATCATTAGCCTAACCCACTGAGGCACTGTTATTATCCTCATTTTACAGATGAGGAAAGAGAAGCTCATAAAGACTAAGTAGTTTGACCAAATACGCATAGATAGTAAGTGATAGAGATGGTATTTGAATCCATGTTAGTCCAATTTCAGAACACTTGTGTTTATCCACGATACCTTCTATGCTCCAGACTTGATCCCTGGTCATCTTCTAGCAGTGCTAACAGGTTTGGGCCTGTCAGTCTCATCCTCTTTAAACTGTTGTCCACAGTGCTGCCCAGATGATCTTTCTGAAATGTTCATCTGATAATGTCACCGGTGCTTTAAAACAACCTGTCTCTTTATCGTCTATAAAAGAAAATTCAAATTGTTGTCATGGAATATGCAAAGGTTCTATCTCTCTAGATTAATTTCCTGCCATTGGTTCCCTGTACTTCAAAAACTAATTATAACCCATTATTCTTTCACAACTCTGCATTTATACAAGCTGTTTCCTCTGCTTAGTATGCTCTTTCCACTCTTGTCCATCTAGTCTCCTTATTTATCCTTCATGACTAATTATACAGTCCTCTGCAAAGTTTTATCTGACCTATTCCTGCCCACTCCCACATACACACAACTACACTGACCTACAAAGAGATGTCACACATATTATCATGATGTTTTCAAATTTTATTTATATCTCAGGCCATGAATGTTGGAGTTACAGTTGAATCCACTTTCTTCACAACCCAAGGGTAATCTGTTAGCAATTTCTGTGGATTCTTCCTTCAAAAGATACCCAAGATATAGCCTCTTCTCATGACCTTTACTACTACCATACTGAACCAAGCCACATACATCTCGCTTGAACTGTGATAGCTACCTCAGTGGCCTAGATTTTGCTCTTAACATTCTTTAGTGAATTCTTGACAAAGACTCAATAATGATTCAGTTAAAATGAAAGATTATGCAACTCCTCTGCCCAAACCCTTCCAATGGCTTCATCTCATTTCAAGAAAAGCCAACATCCTATCAGGCCTTGTCTGGCCTGCACTCTTACCACCTGAGTCTTATTCTCTTCCTGTTGCTTCCTTTGTTCCATTTTAGCCCATATTTCTTCTGCCTAGAATGTTACTCTTCCAAATGGTCACATGACTTGTTTCTCATACTCTGTAGGTTTTTGCTTGAATTATTACTTTTTAACCCATCATCGAGATTGTGATCTCTCACTTTATTTTCCCTAAAATGAACAAGGACTGTGGAAAAATGGCTGATTCCAGCTCTGAGGAAGGAAGAATATAGAATAAGACTGAAACATTTTCTTATACCAGAAAGCAAGGATGCTATAATTACTAGAGTCATGTCAAAAGGATTTATAAGTCAACCTCCAGTAGATTTTAAGCAATAAAAATAATAATTTCAATGGACTGAAACACATCAGATAAGTTGACACCACATGTTCATAATGCTACTAATGGAAATTACTATTCACTTTGCAACAAAATCATTATTCTGAAAACGTGATTACAATACAAGGAGACTCTCAACACTCAATCTGCCTTTGCCGTACAAACTATACCACAAGACAACCAAATGGCTCATGAGAGAAAGTTTAAAGTATTCCAGATGATGAATAAAATTGGTAGTATTTAGTGTTATCAGTCACTTTGCAAATACCTAACAAAGTAATGAATCTAAATAAACATCTTATAAAATAGTAAATCTAAGCAATAATCACCAATGACTGTCAATATCACAAAAAACCACAAACATTCATTATTGATTATGTGTCTTGTAATGGAAGGCATAGCATACCCTTTGAAATTCTTTTGCAAAAAAAGAAAAAATAGAAGCTTCTAGACCTAAATACCAGTTTAGAGGAAATACAGAGCACTGAAAAGCACGCTAAAAGATGTTAAATACATGCAATCAGTAAAATCTCACCTATAGGAAATATTATAAAACAACTCAATTTACTGAATAAATAAATTGTAGGGAAGGAAACTGAGAATAAAGAACACAAATATATATTTTAAAGAATTTAAAAAGATAAAGCAAGTAAATGTAATATCAGGACCTTGAAATTCTGATTCAAATCACTTTAAAAAACATTTAGAAAATGGAGAAAATGTAAACACTGAATAGATCTAATATAATAGAATTTAGAATTATAAATTCTTAAGGTATGATAATATTATTATGGTTATAATTTTCAAAAGTCCTTATCTCTGGAGATATATACTAAAATATGTAGAGGAAACCTGGTATTACCTTCAGAGTGAGTAAGATGCAGATTAAACAAGGTTAGGGATGAGTTAACAACTGTTAAAGTTGAGTGATAGACCTGAGCTGGGCCTGTAATCCTAGCACTGGGGAGGATGAGGCAGGAGGATCACTGTGAGTTTGGGGCTGGCCTAGGCTACTTAGTGAGTTCAAGGGCAGCCTGAACTACATAGCAAGACCAGGACTCAAAAAAACTAATAAATAAATAAGTTAATTGATTAAATAAAGTTGGGTGATAGGTCATCAGTAGGGTAATAGAAGCTATTCTCTCAAATCTATATTCTGATTTTTTCTGCAGTAAAAGGTAAAATAAATTTTAGATAAAAATGGGAGATGATTTGATGACATACAGTGGAATTATTACAGGAATTTTATGAATTCAATTAAGTATTTACTAAGTAACCATATGCAAAACTGTTCGGGGGCAAGATTCAGTTGGAAATAAAGAAAATTGTAAATCTAGAACAACGATCATAACAAAATAGGGTAAGCATTTCATTGTAGGCGTAAATAAATGAAAGAAAACATTTGCAAAAAAAATAAAATTAATTCAACAACAAATTACTCAAAGCTAACAAACTGTCACATCAGTAGAAGCAAAAAGAATATTCACCATGCAATGCTTCTGTAGTTAATAAATCAGGTGGCAACATTCAAATTTCCTTAGTTTTGTAAATAAAAAGGGGAAGAAGGGTTAAAGGCAGGATAGGGGGTTGGGGAAAAAAGAAGAATCAAGATATATTATGTACAGGTACAAATTCCCTATCATTAATGTGATCACTATGTATATCTAAAATGTGCCAATAAAATGTTTAAAAATTTTCCTTAGATTGCTTTGTGGGACCTAACATTGGGTGTAAAACTCGGACATGAAAGGAGGATGGGAATTCTCATTTCTACATTGTTTTAGTTCTCCATTAAAACAGAAATCCATTGACAAAGCTCATGAAAGGAGGAGCTTTGGTTCTACATATCATAAAATAAACAGCCTGAGTAAGTCTTACACAAAAAGACCAGCTTTGCCAATTATAAGAAGGCCTGTATTCATCCATTCAGCTTTTATTGTATATGAATATAATAAAACATTCTTTATAATATTTGACATAGTGTTCAAAATGTTACATACTTTTGATATTTTTAAACAGAATACTTGATTTCAAGGATAAAGGGAGACTAAAGACTGAATCTTTATAATTGAAAGAGATGCTATACACAGTATATTATAGTACTTCAGAATTCACGGGGAAATGTTATATGTTATATGGCAATTAAAAACATAATTTCAGAAATTCTTAATTATTTCTCACCATCAATAGACTCAAGCTCCATTGTCTTATATTCTTTATACACCAAGATACTAAATAAGTATCATATGGTGCTGGTGTAGGAATACTCAACAAACCACATTTGCCATCTTACTTTGAAAACCATATCATATTTTCTTGACATTATTTGACACTGTGCTTTCATAGTACATCAGCACTACACACATTTTAGAAAAATAGAAATGCTGATCAAATCAATTCACTTAAATTTGTACTTTTTATTAAGCCATCCATAACTTCTCTCTTTACTTTCTCTACTTGTTTAAAGGTATCCAGAGATGATCAAATATGATAAAAATTTCTTTAAGTCTTAGGAAATAGCAGCTGGAAAGATCTAAAAATGCTCTGAGATTAAATAGAATGTATATTTTATTCAGAAATGTATATTTTGTTTCTTCTTTGTACAGTAGAAGGAAAGACATTCTTAGGGTAGGGCCACTGTTCTCAACCTTAGCTGCCCATGAGAATCATTAGGAACACTTAGAAAACTGTAAATGCCCACCTCTACCCTCAAAGATAAAATTTAATTTGGTTTATGGTAGGGCTGAGCCTGAGTTTGTTTTTTAAGGGCCAAGATTTTCTGAATGTGCTACCAGGGCTTAAGAGTTAGGGTGATCAAGATTTGAGTCATGGCCCGGGGATTTAGCTCAGCAGTTCGGTGGCCTTCCTTGTAAGTACAAGGACCTGAGTTCAATCCCCGGTACCAAAAAAAAAAAAAAAAAAAAATTT